CTTTTTTCTTTTTGTGGATTTAAAGTGATTTTTTGACAGTTTTTGACAATCAGCTATTGGAGGGTATTGAGGATTGGAGAGAACCATCTGCTGGTGAGAAAAGAATTCCTCAATACTTAGTGAAGGAAGAAAGGGAGAGTGCATCTATGAAATTTGGCCTTGGCTACTGGAAATGATACTTTGGAACTGTGAGAACTTTTAAGGAGTGCTTGTTTTTGCAACATTGTTTGGTTTTGACTTTCTATGGCTGTGGAAGAAAATAAATACTCAACTTGGATTGGACTGGACTAATATTAGAATTGGACATTAGAATCTGGAAATAAAAGGGGGGAAAGGGGCTGCCTGGACTTTAAGTTTTAATTAAATGTGATATAATGGTTTTTTTTAAAAAAACACTGTTAAATTAATTAACAGTTAATTAATTAATTATGGAGCCTTGGATATATGATGAACTATTTGAGATGCTAAAAAATGTGTGTGAAATTTTAATTGGTAAGAAAAAGTCAGAAATTCTGATGGAGCACACAGACCAGAAAAATAGGAGAGAAGGGGGTAAAAGAGGGCACAAATGAAGAACAATAAGAAAATATGGAAGAAAAAGGAACTGAAAATTAAAGAAAAAACAGATGATTTCACTGAGATTTACAGTGGCACAAAAGAAAATAGACAAGGGGGACTGTCCCCCCCAAAAGAAACAAGCAGCAGCAAAGAAGGAAATAGTGGGAAGAGACTAGGAAAAACCCTGGGGAAAACTACTAGAATAATAAAATCAAAAGTGAGAAAAATATTTTGAAGAAAAGATACAATTATTAATAAAAAGAAGAAAAAGAAGAAGCAGCTAAGAGAATGGGAAAAAAGAAGAAAATTAATAAGAAGTGGAAACTGTTTAGAGAAATTGGAAAGCCTATTTGGGCCTGGAATCAGCAGCTATTATGGCTAAACAAGCAAAACTGTATAGACTCACAGAACTAAAGTGTTATCATAATATTTTCAATAGTCTGAACATTTAATGGGTTAGGATAGCAATCAACCAGGCTCAGAATCCTCCAGGGATTCCTATGGAAACTTCCATACTTTTGCCTTAGCAGTGCTTTCAAATGGATCCAGTTTTTATTTAAAGAGTAATTTCTGAAAAGTTTGATCCAAATATGTTTTATGTTTGATTTTTAAATGTTTTGTTTTATCTGAAGTTGTACATGTGCATATTGCACTGAATGACCTGGAATACCAGCATTTTTATGAATGTTAGCTTGTATGTGACAATATCTGAATGGATGAACCAATGAGTATCAATAATCATCTAAATAAAATTTGTGTTCACAATTTCTAAACTTGAAAACTAGAAATGCCACTCTGTTCACTTAGAAATTTCATCTGCTATTCATATAAGAGTGATCATTTTCCCTTACAGAACTTTGAGATATTTATTATCTCAAATTTTGTAAAATTGTGTCCAACTCAAAGTTAAACAAAAAGAGTGTGAAGCACTTGCAGTACTCAAGGTAATACTAGGTAATTTCTAGGTAATTTACACCTAATCACCTGGAAGTTATACATTTGTCATGTTATTAATCTCAGTGTAGTCAAGTTTTTCTAATTAGTATTTAATCCCAGTTTGAAACAGTAAAGGAGTATAATAATTACCAATTTCCAATTGCTATTATAGAGCTTTAATATACAGATCAACAGGTTAAACCGTTATTTTTTTTCCAGATTATGTATTCAATCAAAATATTTGTATCTCAGGAGAATTGCTTGCACTTCTTCCAGCCACCTTGTTTCAATATCTTCTTCAGAACTCTTCAGATGCTTCAAAAATTTCCTGATATTTAAATCTTGGGAGGCCTATAGATATT